CCCCCTTTGACCCCCCAAATCCCCCCAAAAATCCCGCAGGAGCTGAACCTCCTGGACTCCTCCAACACCATCTTCAAGCTGCTGGGCCCCGTTTTGGTGCGGCAGGACCTGGAAGAGGCCAAAGCCACGGTGGGGAAACGCCTGGAATACATCACAGCCGAGATGTGGGTGACCCCTGGGAGGGATCCCCTGAATTTTGGGACCCCAAAATTGCCGGTTTTCACCCCAAAATCCTCCCAAAATCTCCGCAGGAAACGCTACGAGCAGCAGATGCAGGAGCTGGAGCGACGCTCGGAGCAGCAGAGGGAGGTGCTGGGGAGGCTCCAGCAGGAGCTGCAGGGCAAACCCTGAGCCCCCCCAAATATTTGGGGACCCCCCCGGAGCCTCCTGACCCTCCTTGGCCCCCCTGCACCCCGAAAACCCCCCTTAAATCGGGTTAAATCCCCATTAAATTGGGTTAAATCCCGCCCGAAAAAAGCGTTTTCACCCACTTGTGGCTTCATGTTTGTTCTTTTTTTGGGGTTTTTGGGGGGTCCTGAGCACCCCAAAATATTTGGGGATCCCCCCGGAGCCTCCTGACCCTCCTTGGCCCCAAAAACCCCCGAAAACCCCCTTTAATTGGGTTAAAATCCCATTAAATTGGGTTAAATCCCACCCGAAACCGGTGTTTTTACTGACTTGTGGTTTCACATTTGTTCATTTTTTGGGGGCTCTGAGCACCCCAAAATATTTGGGGACCTCCCCGGAGCCTCCTGACCCTCCTTGGCCCCAAAAACCCCCCAAAAAACCCTTAAATTGGGTTAAAATCCCATTAAATTTGGTTAAATCCCACCCGAAAAAAGCGTTTTCACCCACTTGTGGCTTCATGTTTGTTCTTTTTTTGGGGGTTTTGGGGGTCCTGAGCACCCCAAAATTTTGGGGGACCGTCCCCAGACAGTCTTGGCCCTCCTTGGCCCCCCTGCACCCCGAAAACCCCCCTTAAATTTGGTTAAAATCCCATTAAATTGGGTTAAATCCCACCCAAAACCAACGTTTTGTGGCTTCAAGTTTGTTCCTTTTTTGAGTTTTTGGGGGGTCCTGAGCACCCCAAAATTTTGGGGGACCCTCCCCGGACTCTCCTGACCCTCCTTGGCCCCCCTGCACCCCAAAAACCCCCCTTAAATTGGGTTAAAACCCCATTAAATTGGGTTAAATCCCACCCAAAAAAAGCGTTTTCACCCACTTGTGGCTTCGTGTTTGTTCTTTTTTTGGGGGGTTTTGGGGGGTCCTGAGCACCCCCAAATATTTGGGGACCTCCCTGGAGCCTCCTGACCCTCCTTGGCCCTCCTGCACCCCAAAAATCCCCCTTAAATTGGGTTAAAATCCCATTAAATTGGGTTAAATCCCACCCGAAAACAGCGTTTTGTGGTTTTACATTTGTTACTTCCGGGGGTTTTTGGGGTGTCCTGAGCACCCCAAAATATTTGGGGACTCTCCCTGGACTCTCATGACCCTCCTTGGTCCCCCTGCACCCCAAAAACCCCCCTTAAATTGGGTTAAAATCCCATTAAATTGGGTTAAATCCCAC